ATTCTATAACATAAATTTTATAATTGTTAATTTTATCATGTGTTAATAAAGCACATATAAAAATGCCTATAGGCAAAAACATGTGAATCAGAGTAAAACATAACCAGTTTCATAGAACAGTCACATCTAGTTGGACTGATTAAGGTAAAAAGAGCTTTTTAAACTCTAGTGCCTGCCAGTAGTTTGATGTGTGGAATCATTGCTTTGGTGATTCAATCTTTTTCAGCAAATTCTATGACCAGAGTTAAGATGGCATCACTTCCCAATTTGCCTAGAATAGCTACTGCCCCAATATGATTGTCAATACTGCTCACTTTGACACTAATTCATTCCCCAGGTTCTGTATGATAAATCATACAGTCAGAAGGAGCCCTCGTGGGACAACGCTTAAGAGCTCAGCTCTAACCAAAAAAGTCAGAGAACTGAAGCCACCCAACAGCTCCACAAGAGGAAACACCTGGTAAACTGCTCCCATACAGATTACAGCTGAGAAACCCCTGTACTCATATTCTCTTTAATAGTGATGAGAGGGAATCAATTCACAGCAACAATCCTAGCCTGGGAGACAGGGTTTCAGAGGCAACAGACTCAAACAGCAAAATCCAAGTTTTCACAGATACCTTTTCATGGTAAGTTGCTCTTTAAGATTCTTGATCTCGGTATCTTTTGCATGGACTTGACGCAGTAATCTAAGCAAATTAGGAAAAAAAGTTACAAAATGTTAGACATTACTTTTCATCAACACATTCAAGATAGCTCTCCATGTACCTGAGGAGGGACTAAGTACGCTCATTTAGAACTACAAGCATTGAGCCTGAAAGCAATTGCTGGGCTCCTGTGCCTGGCTCTTTGGAATAGTATTTTTGCTCTTTATGATGTTTTTATGTTGTGTTGAGTTCTCAAAGAAAGTGGAAGTTCTAAGGTAAGAGATTAAATAGTGGAGTGATATATTATCTTGTATCCCTTGTATTCCAATTGTCTCAGGTAAAAAAAAATATATCAAAACTCTGTTCTTTACTTTTATCTATTAGAAGACAGACACGGTTTCTTCCAATTTTCTAGAAAATAGGATTGAAATTTTAAAGTTCTTAAAGAGACTTATGTCCACTCAAAAAATAATCAAAGCCTAAAGATTTGAAAGAAATCAGACCTTAAATATGGAAGCCATGAGGCTATATGCAAATAAATACCTTAAATAAAGCAAAACTAGAGTGCATGAACTAAATGGAAACGTTTATGCTGTTAGTTGCTCTTCTCTCTCTCTGTATATGAATATGTACACACACACATACACACACAAACATCTGTCCTCAGCTCTTGTACTTAAGGATACATATATATTTGCATAGACATATACACTCATATGTATAATGTATGAGTATATACATTATTAAAAAATAAATATATAAATACACACTCATATAAATTATAATTTGCTCAACCTAAAATTTTATATGCAAGCAAGCATTAATAGAAATGAGAAAGAATACTTTTTGATAGATACACATATTTATATATTTATATAATTTATGTTCTTCCTTTATACTATTAACATATATTTTCAAAGCTCTTTTTATATTTACTTGGTAAACTCCTTTAATATCTAGAAATTTACTGCAAAAGTACTAGCAGAGTAATTACAGGCAATTACACTCATTTAAACATAAGATATATAAGAAATTAGCAAAATAGGTAAGATGGGGATTTTCCTTTCCTTTATGCACTTCTATTGGTTCAATTCTCCTGGTGATGTGCTGCTTCTGACAACCTGTTGAAGGGTCAGCTATAAATCAGTTCTGATTACAGGCCACACAACAACATAGTGAGTGAGTAGTTTGATTACATTTCAATCTCACTGGCTCAGCAGCAAACATGGTTGGGGACTGTGATCAGTTCCTACTGTGTAGTCACACTGCCACCTAGTGGTTTAACAGATTACCTACTGGAGAATTGAGTACCTCCTGGTAAAATCTAATTCCTTTTAGTAACTGATTTTCACTTACTTGGAAACTTTGTTAATTCCAAAGGCCACTTGCTGGTTGAGAGATGAAATTATTTTATCTTTCCTTTTGCTTTGCATTTGGTTTTCTTGCCACCGAAAAGTTACTGTTTTCAACTGTTTTTTGAAATCCTGATCAAGAGAAAAGATGATTTGAGAGATAATTCTGTTTAAACACAAAAGTTGAGAGCAAAAAAATAACAGCTATTTTTCAAAAATATTATCACATTAAGTCTAACATTCAAATGTCCTCTGATTTCCCTCAGATATAATAGCAAAGGCACTTACTTCACACTGGTAGTGCAATTTATAAAGCTGCCTCTGAAGAGCAAGTTTTTCCTTCTCAGTTTCTTCATAATCTGCAGTGACCTTGCTGGCTGAACCCTAGTGAGCAAATGAGATATGCATGTCTGAATTTTAGATCACATAAAATGAAGTTTTAGTCTTTTTTAGTTACTTTCTTTTCCTCTTTAAAAAAAATAAAAAATTACAGTTAGCATCTGTTATAGACAGAATCATGTGCCCTAAAAATACGTGTCAATTTGGCTAGGGCATAATTCTTAGTAAACTGTTAATAAAGTCTCTCTCTCTCTCTCTCTCTCTCTTTCTCGTTACCATCTAGTTGGAATGAACTCATAGCTGACCCTCCAGCAGGTTTTCTGAGGCCATGAACTACACAGGAGATAGTTCATCTTTCTCCCTAAGAGCAGCCAGTAGATGGTAGCCCAACTTCTTAGACGCCAAGACACCAGAGCTACCTACCTGTTATTATCCTGTTACATAAATCATAATCTCCAGGAGGTTAATGAGGTAGGATTAGATTTAGTTTACATAAGAGGTGGTCACTCTGCATAATGTGATCAGTTGTAAGGGGATCAGGGCAGGATGTAACAGTCTTAATTCGGTTACAGCCCTGATGCAGTCTAAGAGATGTTTCCCCGCAGTGTGTCCTACTACCACCTTTTGTCTTACAAAAGTGAGACAGGAAAGGAGAAGCTGATTAGGGGGGCACCCTCAATATCATAAAAAAAAACTAGGAGTGAAAATGTATCCTTTGGTCCTTGTGCTGGAAAGGTCCTTGATATAGAAGAAGGCCAAGGCATAAGAAGATGTCCAAGAAATGCTGGGCCTACAGTTGCTGGTGGAAACAAAGACTTTCCTCCACACAAAGAAGAGTAGCCCTTCCCCTAGAGCCAGCACCTTCAACCTGGATATGCAATTTCTCAAAACTCCAAGGGAATAAAAGGCTACTACAGCTATCCACTTGTGGAACCTCTGTGATAGCAACACTAGATGAAAAGCACTCCATCTGTCTCCTATTCTTTTCTATGTCAATATAAATGCTACACCTCTGTTTAGAGAAACCTGCCTCTCCCGTTAACAGCATCTGCTACAAAGTACTGTCGTCAACTTGCCTGTAGCAGGGGTTCTTCTGGCTTGTCTGCTGTATCACATAAGCCCGTGTGCTTACCCTGTTTTAGGAGCTTTCTATATAACACATATCAAGATCATGAAAATCTTACCAGGTGGGCACGCATCAGTCTCATTTACAGACAAAATCACATTAAGCAGCTTGCCTAAACTCACAAAGACGATAAACGGGGGAGTTTGAATTCTAACTCATTAGAAAATGAGCCCAAGAAATTATTACACTCTGCCATCTGAGCTCAGTGTTCTCCCCTAGATTGTACACAGTCTGATTTAAGGGACTAACTCAGCACAGAGGAAGTGCTAAATATACATTTCCAGAAAGGTCTGCAATGTTACTTTGATTCCATTTTCAAATTATTGCAGTTCTCATGGTTACTGAATGAAAACCAGAGGCTTCACACTTAAACTTGAATATGGCATTCAAAGCTAAGAGAACATTTTATTTTGGTTAGTGGTAAGAAGCTTCAAGGCAATCCCAAAGGCACGTGATTAGAATTTATCAAGATGGGCAATCTCTCATGCGATTTACTGCCTCTGAAAACCCACTGGAAGGTAAACTATGGGCTGGTTCCAACTCGATGGCACATAAGAACAATAATTGGAGATGAAAAAAAAATGCATGCAAATTAAATGAGTGTTCTATTATTGGGCAGCGAAACATCTGCATTAACTGTGCCAGTAAAACAATCAATATGGTTCCACAGTACACTATTATATTAGAGCCATGAAGTAAGATACCATAAAATGACCTCAATACAGATATGCGTATGGTTGAGTAAAACATTTACTCTATTTAACACATGAATAATATCCCTGTGCCTCTTTAACATATAGAAACATCATTTCAAGCAGTGAGTAATCCCAGGAAAACTTAGAAGAAAAATCTGTTGTCTATTTTGCAGACCTTTTATGGTAAAATGACAATTTTAGTAAAAACACCTTCCTTTTATCTGTTTTTCTCATGACATTTATTCGACTGGGATTATGCCAGCTTTACCGTGTCTTTTTTTCCCTTATGTATGAGAAACTTTATATATGAATGTGTTGATAATCAACTCTGTCCAACAGTTACAACCAGGAAATGGTTTGAGCTAAAGGGAAATATTCCACTTCTGTGGTTCTTTTTTTCCCCGCCTTTCTTTCTACCTCTTTATCTCTTTTTCTCCCCATGAAAAACACAGCAAAAATCCCAGAGTTATCAGGTTATTCAGTTAACCAGGGGAAACAGCATACGGAGTATTTCTGGAAGACAGAAGGCTGTCCAGTCAGGTTTACCTGTTCTATCATGTCCAGAATGTGCAGCTCATCAAGGCTGTAGGTCTTCTCTTCGGCTGCAGAATCATCCTGAGTGTCACTCAAATCGTCGCTGTTTGAGCGTGGTCTTCCTGGCTCGCTCTTCGTCTGCTCCTCCTCCTCTGACAAAGCTGAGCTATCATGGTAACAGAATCAGTGTGATCTGTAAGAACTTATAATGCTTTTCTTCCAAGTCATTGTTTCCTAATTTGACACTGTACTGATTTCACGAGGTGCCCAGCCTAAGATCGGTACATGGTTAAATAAAATGTTAACAGTGCCCATACTATGTCTTTCACCTGAAAAATCACAGTGCATATGAGCATATATTTAAGACAATACTCGGCTATGGACCTATTTAATTCTGTTCATTGCAATGTATGGAGAAATTATGAAATCATGGAGCTAATTTTTCAAATTACATCTATTAATATCAGTTACTTGATATTAATGATATTACTTGATACAGTTACTTAATGTTAATAAATGATATGGATGAAATAATTCTTTGGGAAACACTGACAAGCATCTCCAAATCTGTATAATTTTTCCATCATTGCATTCTTAGCACGTAGGCTGCTTAATCAATTTGAATGTTTTACAGCAAGGACATATTTCAATTAAACAACATAAGGATTTAAAACGGAAATTCCTTTTCTAATTGTTTTTAAGGAAGTAAAGTGAACACATGGATTTCAATAACTAGGAACAATTTGAAAAAGAATGAAAAGACTAGAGATATAGTATATATTAGTCAATTTTTTAACTACTTCTAAATTTAAATGTTGTTACGTGCCATCAAGCTGCCTGTGACCCATTGTGACCCTATGTACAGCAGCTCTGAGCTCTGCCCTATCCTGATACAGTCTCACTAATTCTGACACATCATCCCTATTGCTCCAGTCACTGTATCAATCTATTTCATCTGGGGTCTTCCTCTCCTGCACTGTCCCTCTACCCTTCCAAGCATGAAGTCCTTCTCCAAGGATCAGTCTTTCCTTGCCATGTGCCCAAAAGTATATGAGATAGAGCTTCAAGAGCCTAGCTTCCAAGGACAGACTTGGTCTCATCCTCTCCAAGACAGACCTATTTTTTTCTTTCTTTTTTTTTTATTGCATGCAAATCAGTAATTTTTTAAAAGACGGATTGACGGTAATGATTGCTATGATTACAATAACAAGCATGATTGTGAGGATAGCACAGGATATAGCAAGGTTCAGATCTTCGTTCACAGGCTCATTGTGAGTTGTAGGTAGGTCAATGATCCCTAATTTCGAGTATGGTCGAGATGGAACCGACCCATAGCTGATCATCCCGCGGGTTTTCAGAGGCAGTTAAACACGTTGCCGCAAATGACCGCAAAATGTGTTTTTAAGTACGGTCATCAATTTAAAAGTGTGTGGCAATGTGTTAATCACCTGAGGGTATTGCCCATTCTTCTCCTAGCTGGTGGATTTGAACCACATGCCTTTTGGATTGCGACTGCATATGATGTTTTTTAAAAATAGATATTTTATTTTAGTTGTTATTAAGGATGTCAGAGTAGCAGTTGTTGTTAGGTGCCTTCCAGCCAACTACAACTCATCAACAGATTTTAAACTTTCTCTCTCCTGCATCATTGTCATGATTTTTGTAACGCTCAAGCCCACTGTGGTAGTTACGGTGTCAATTCACCTGGTTGGTGATCTTTCTTTTTCTAACCCTCCACCTTTTCCAGTACAATCTTCCTCTCCAAGGATTGGTTTTCTCCTGAGAAATGTTCAAAGTAATGAGATGATGTTTCATCATCTTTGCCTCTAAAAAGCATTTGTTTGTCTTTTCTTCAAGACATACTGGTTTGTTCTTTTGGCAGTTTATGGTGGATTCAATACTCTTATCCAAAACCACACTTCAAAGGCTTCGATTCTTCTTTGGCCTTCTTTATTAACTGTCCAATTTTCAGATGCATAAAAAGCAATTAAAAAAAAACACAAATCCATAACTTGGATCAGGTACATCTTGGTTTTTAAACTGGCAACCTTGTTGTTTAGAACTCTAGAGAGGTCCTTGAAAGCAAGTTTCTCTGATGCAAATCTTTTGACTTCTTAACTGCTGTTACTATAGGTGTCATTATAGTTCCAAGTAAAATAAAATAAGTGACAAGACAGATTCAATCTTTTCGACATTTATCATAATGTTGCTTACTGGTCCAGTGGTAAGAATTTTCATTTTCTTGATGCTGATATGTAGCCTTGATACTGGAGGCTGCAGTCTTTGATCTTCTGCACAAAGTCATCTCTTAAGTTTCTGCAAACAAAATTTTGTCATCTGCATAACAAAAGTTATTGATGTCTTCCTCAAATCTTGATGCCACATTCTTCTTCATATAATCCAGCTTCTCAAATTATTTGAGTATACATACAGGTTGAAGAAATCTGGAGAAAAGGATACAGTACATATTTTCTGATTTTAACTCATTCGTTTTCTCTCCAGCACCACAATTCGAAGGCACTGATTCTTCTTCTATCATCGCTAGTTACTGTCCAGCTCTCTGATGCATGGCAAGTAATCGCACAGACCATGGCCTGCATCAGGCACACCTTAATCTCTTGACTGACATCGTTGCTTTTCAGCACTCCAGAGAGGTCCCCAGCAGCAGATTTCCCCAAAGCAATTCATCTTTTTATTTTCTGACTGCTGGTGTTAAGACTGTTGATTGTGGCGCCGGGCAAACTTTAATTGTTAACAACCCCAATCTCTTCTACATCTATCATGGTGCTGCCAATTGGCCCAGTGAAAAGAATCTTTGTCTTCTTGATGTTAAACTTCCATCCATATTGAAGACTACAGTACTTGACCTTCTGCAGCAAGCACTTCAGATTTTCGTCAGTTTCAACAAGCAAGGTTGTGTCATCTGCATAACATAGGTTGTTAATGTCTACCTTCAATCCTGATGCTACCATTTCTCCTCATAAAGCCCAGATTCCTGAATGATCTGTTCTGCGAATAGATTGAAAAGGTATGGATACAAGATGTGTTCCTGATGCACTTCTTTCCTGATTGTGAACCATTCAGGTTTCCCTGATTTGTTCTGAGGACTGCTTCCTGGTCCAAGTGTAGGTTTTGCATAAGAACAATCAAATGTTCTGGGATTGCCATTTTCCTCAAGGTTAGCCACAATTTGTTGTGATCCACACAATTAAATACCTTTTGTATAGTCAATGAAAGACAGATAGACATTCCTCTGGTACTCTCTGCTTTCTGCCAAGATCCATCAGACATTGACATTGACACTGACATGGCATAACATCTCTTGCGCCACGACCTCTTCTAAACTCAGCTTGTATTTCTGGTAATTCTCTGTCAATGTACTGTTCCAGTCATTTCTGGATGATCTGCAGCAGGATTTTGCTAGTGTGTGATATTGGTAATATTGTTCGATAACTTCTATACTCTGTTGGGTCCCTTTTTCTTTTTTTTTTTGGAATGGGAATAAATATTAATTTTTTCCAGTCAGTTGGCCAAATAGTTGTCCTCCAGATTTCTTGCAACAACTTGGTGAGCACATGCAGGGCAGCATCTGTTTGTGGAAATACATCAATTGGCATTTCATCAATTCTTGGAGCTTTATTTTTTTTGTCAAGTCCTTCACAGGCCTATCATTTTTAAAGCTAGCCTAATTTATTTAGTAGGGCGGTCTGGTGGTTTAGTGATAAGGAACTGTGCTGCCGATGCAAAGGTATGTGGTTAGAATCCTCCAGCTGCTCCGTGGGAGAGGAAGATAGGCAAAAATGGGAAGGGACTCCCCACTTTTCTCCTGCAGAGCAGCCAGTGAATTCACACTTCACATTGGCAGTGCAATTCCTTACCACTAAGCCACCAGATCTCCCAATAGTAGGGGTTATTAATACTATCCAACAATAGCATGACTTTTTCTAAGGTGACTAAAACCTAAGAGGGAAACAGTCAAAGGCTCAAACGTCATAGGATAGTTTGTAAAACATACATAAACCATAATTACATATCACTGAGGTAGTACTGAATTACTCAAATATTTTGGAAAGTTTAATGAAATCAAATGCTTACAGCAACAACTGACCAGCAGGGTATCAAATGTGATTAGTTTTAAAAAATCACCTGAAGAATCTTTAAGGTACATTTTTTTTGTTTGTTTAACTTTGTGATTTTTTTAAAAAGTTTACATAAAAGTTGGATTTTGTGTATAAGATACAGTGTTTTTTGTTTTTTTTTTCAGGCACCTCCACCACAACTGTAAAGATACAGATGCATCTCAATTTTTAGAAAACCTTCTCTGAACTGTTAGTGAGATTTTTAAAGTATGATAATAACATTAGGATAATATAAGAAAACGTCCATATTTTTAAGAGAAGCAGATTTCAGTAGGAGTAAAACTGCATACTCTGTGTCTTTGATAACATTCCAACAAAAAAGGAATGACTGAAGAAAATGTCAAAAGACTAGTAACAGCTGAATTAGGAAGACAGATTTTTTAATAATATCTTCTTACTATTTTGTATATTTGAAAATTCTCATTAGAGCAAAGCTCCCAAGGGTAATTTGATCATTTTCCAGGTTTGAGGTTCCACTGTGAGCAAAAACGGCACTGTTTCACTTTCAGTAAGCTGTTTTAATGGCAACTTGACATAGGTCGAGAAAAAGTCTATTGTTCTTTAGATGACAAAGAAAGGGAAAATTTGCTTGAAAAGCAAACAGTTGATAATCCAAGACAATAAGGTGATTATCAAATGAGAAAACACAAAGTACAAGTGATGGTTTTAAAGTTAGTAAACTATATTCTCTCATTTGAAAGGTCTTTTATTATGTCTTCAAAGTACATTTTCTAAAGTTACTAATGTTACTGTTTGTTGTGTGTACTGGGACCAGTTTTCAGAGGCAGCTGATCACGTGGGAGGAGATTGCCCATCCTTCTCTGGCCAAGCAGCTGGTGGATTCAAACCACATTCCTCAGGGACTGCAGCCAAGCTTCCTGCCCCTAGGCCATTTGTTACTGGCTCCTAAGTTACTAACGCTCATTTGAAACTTTTTGGTGGGATATTATCATGATCCATTTCCCCTTCCATCATCTGGCATATTGTCATTAAAGTTAAAAGTTCAAAATGCACTGTCAAAATCTGTGATTAAAAATATCCTCAGGTTAAATTCAAAATTAAAACTCACAACTCAAACTTAAAAATAAATAGTTTTTGGCATCTCTGAAGTGCAGGAGATCCTGGCCAAGCTGCTATCATTAACTTTAATTTAGCCCGACCCTTTGCTTTTTCACCCGAAATCTCTGACTAAAATGGTTTGATCTTAAAACAAACACAAAAAGCATTCTTTCATAAAATGGTCATTTCAGACATACAGTGGTCTTGATGTTGTTGTTGTTACATGCCATCGAGTCACTTGCGACTTATAGCGATGCAATGTACAACAGCCCTAAACTCTATTCTATCTCTTGCCAATCTTATTGTCTCTGACACGCCTATCCCCATTACCCCAGTGATGTAATCAATACATCTAATCAAGAGTTTTCCTCTCCTGCTCTGTCCCTCCACCCTCCCAAGCATGACGTCCCTCTCCAAGGACTAGTCCCTCCTTCCAATATGTCCAAAGTTTATCAGACGGAGATCCAGAATACTTGACTCCAAGGAGCAGCCTGGCTTCACCCTCTCCCAGAGGAACTTGTTTGTTCTCCTAGCAGTCCATGGTAAATTCAGTACTCTTCTCCACCACCAATAGATCTTCTTAAAGACTAAGTCATATTCAGTCTCTATTTGGCTAATCATAGACTAATCAGACTATGTGACGAAAGACTGTTTAATCACGGCAGTCCATGAATAAAGCAGTGAGCATTAGGTGGCTCTCGAGTTGACTTACTAGAAAAATTGTGAGAGATTCTATTCTTCTAAAGCAAGTAAGAATTTAACATCTGTTCACTTTTGTAAAAAAAGGTAACAGTTCAAGACAAAAAAATATTGTTCTTTCTTCCCTTCTGTTTCTCAAAGTAAGGAAATATACACACTTTGAAATACTAAAAATCAAATCACACTTTGAAATACTAAAAATAATTTAAAGTAAAAAACTACCACTTACATTTGATCTTCATCTGATTCTTTATTCTGAAAAAGAGCAAAAAGAATTAGCAATTTATAATAAAGTGAGTTAATAAAGGATAGAAATCTAACCATATATTTACCTCAAACCAAGAAATATATTTGCTTGATGTACACATTTAATTTTTTATACACATTAATATAATATTAAAGTATAAGTTCCTAAAAATTTTATTTGTATCATACAGAATGTTAAATTTTATTATTTTATTTCCTATTTTAAAATTATTATTGCAACCCACAAAACTGATTTTGTAAATTATTCCAGAATCACAGCTCATAACTTTAAAATCACTGATTTAGGTATTAGGTAGAGTATTATGACTGAGTTTATACCTCTTGAAATATCTCAGGATGGTCTGGAAACAATTTTCATTTACAAAGTCTTTATCACACGAACCACAGAGAATTTTAAAATACTTACATGAAAGACTAAAACAGCATTCTACATTAGAACCTTACAGAGAAAGAAGTACTAAGGAAGTCCCAATTACAAGAAAAACTTTAATGTTTACACCACTAAAACAAAATTATGAAGAAAACATGTAAAAGTAATGTCAATGATACTAAGTTACGAATATTACAGCATTAACTTCTACTTGCATCTCTTGCTTACAAGAATAAATGCCTCTTTAATACTCAATAAAGTACTCAGAAATGTAATTTCTTTTGCTCTGTCTATATACTAACTTGTGGGAGAAGGATGGGCAATCCCCCGTGCAATTAACTGCCTCTGAAAACCCACCAGAGGGTCAACTATGGGCCAGTTCCAACACTATGGTACACAACAACAACAACAACATATACTAAGAGAAGCTTTGTGTTTCAGTGTCTAATATTAGGTCCATTGTGTAGTGCCATTTTGCCCCAGTGATTAGAAATATGGACTTCTATCTGTTGGGTGCACCTGATTGAAGCTATGGCCTTTTCATTCATTTGCAATGTATCTGTGAGCTGAACAATGAATAAGGATGGAAGAAGAAAAAATTGATGCCTTTATGCTTTGGTGTTGGAGAAGAACACTGAATATCCTATCAGCTACCAAAAGAACAAATATATCTTGGAGAAAGTGCAGCCAGTGTTCCTTGGAGTCAGGGATGGTTAGGCTTCTCACATACTTTGAGTATGTCACTAGGAGAAGCTATTCATAGGAGAGGAACATCATACTTGGAAAGGTGGAGGAATGGTGAAAGAGAGGATGACGCTTAACCATATGGATTGACATAGTGCTGCAATGGACTCCAGTGTGTCAGAAATTGTGAGGATGGTACCAGATAGGATGGGGTTCAGATCTGCTGTTTATAGGGTCACCATGGGTCGTCTCACATACTTTGTGCATGTTGTCAGGAGGGACTAGGCCTTAGAGAAGGACATCATGCTTGGAAGAGTGGAGGGACAGAGGAAGACCCTGAATAACATGGATTGGTTCAATGACTACGGTAATGGAGGTAGGTGTGTTGAAGACAAATTGAATCAAGATAGAGCTGAGTGCAGGCAGGGATGTTGTACATAGTAGGGTCACTATGAGTTGCAAGAGACTTAATGGCACATAAAAACAACAACATACTCATACCCAACTTAATGGCACCCAGCAACAACAACATCAATGTGTTAATACAATGAACCCTTGTGGTATCACAGTTTCAGAGATGATGAGGACAGCACAAGATAGGGCAGGATTCAGGTGGGCTGTTCAGGGGGTCTTTATGAGTCGTATTCGACTTAAGTGCAACTAACAACAGCGTGGTATGTTGTTGATGATTGCTATCAAGTCAAGCACAGTTCATTGCGACCCTATGAACAGAAGGCCTGAAACCTTTCTGTAACTTACATCATTTCTCCAAGTTCATAGAGTTTCCAGAGGCATGTGATTTAGGAAGTGGATGCCAATCCTGCTTCCAAACCTGTCTTAAACTGGGAGCTCCACCAAACACTGTCCATGATGGACAATCATTATGGCATTTGACACCACAATTTAATAAGGTTGGGCATCACAGCAAACCCAGATTACCTCAGTACAGCAAGTTGACAGAAGAGTTCTGTAAGACTTAGAAAAATGTTCCTCTGAATTTGAACATCTTGTTCACACCAAACAAGTTCCCAAATCACAAAAAACCAGACATTCCACCTGACCTTCCACCAGAACAAGCACACCTGTCTTACAGATTCCTGCCACAACATAGTATAGTGGGATTAAATGTTGGGCTGCCAACTGAAAAAAAAATTAATAACTGCTCTGTAGAATGAAAATAAAGTAAGAGACTCCAGCAAAAATATATATTGTTCTTGTCATGTGCCATTCCATTGACTATGATTCATAGAGACCCTATGCACAATAGCTCTGAAACCTGCTCTATCTTGAGCCAATCTCACCATCTCTGATACACTTACCCTCATAAAAAATGTACAGCTCCAGAAATTTGATGGAAGGCTGCCACGAGTTGGAACTGACTTAATGACAGGGTATGGTTTACTTTGGGAGGCTTATTGTTGTTTTTGTTAGGTGTCATCAAGTCAAGCACGCCTCACAGCAACCTAGGAACAAAAGATCTGAACCCTGTTCTATTCTGCACCATCCTCACACTTCCTGACACACAAGAGTTCACTGCAGTAGTCACCTTATCAATCCACCTGGATGAGGGTCTTCTCTCCTTTGCCGACCCTCCATCTTTTCCAACACCATGTCCTTCTCCAAGGAATAGCCCCGCCTAGCAATATGTCCACCTTCTCCAAGGAATAGCCCCGCCTAGCAATATGTCCAAAGATGAAGCCTCATCATTCTTGCCTCCAAAGAGCACTCTGGCTGTATCCTCTCCAAGAATTCTCTTGGCCATCCATGGGATGTTCAGTGCTCATCTCCAATACCACAACTCAAAGGTGTCAATTCTTTTCTCTCATCCTTATTTACTGTCCAGGTCTCAGATGCACAGCTAGTGATCAGAAAAGACTATGGCCTGAAACAGACAGCACCTTAGTTCTCAAACTTACATCAC